CAGGATGGAATCAACATTGCTCCTCCTGGATGCGAGGTTTGACAATTGGTCAGAGCCTCCTTTCCAGCACCCTAGAGTAAACTTTCCCGGGGAGGCTGAGAAGTGTGATGCTCCGGTAATTAGAACACACTCCCCGGTCCCCCTTTTTGAAAACGGGAACCACCACCCTGGTCTGCCACTCCACAGGCACCGTACCCGATGCCCGCGCAACACTATAGAAGCGTGTCAGCCATGACAGGCCGAAAATGTCCAGAGCCTTCAGCATCTCGGGACTAATCTCGTCCACACCTGGCGCTTTGCCACTGAGGACCTTCTTAACGCTCTGCTAACCCACTGATTTTGCTTTATTGGTACACTCCTCAAGCTATTAGGATTCNTGCCAGGATTTAAATTATTAAAAATAATTCTAATTCAAGCTTCAAAATTAAAAGAATCTGCCACGCTGTTTTGTTTAATGTGAGAGTGGAAATAATGTATTTGGGACTAATTTGAGGCTGTGATTAAGATTTCTATTATTATTTTCTGACCTTTTATAGAATAATCAATTTAATAGCCACCAGAGTAAATGAAAAAAATTAACTATAGATTACTGGGTCATTGGCAAAAGCAGAAAAAGATGAAGTAGAGGAGACACACAATTCAGACAGTGCTGCAACCTGAGAGCCGGTTGTGATAGAGCGAGCAAGAGAATGAATACGGAGAGAGAGCGGCGGGAGCTAACCAGCGCGTGGATGCATAAATAAACACATTTCAGCTTGTTTCATGACCATACGTCCGACAAACAGAAACACATCCACTCAAACACACTATGTACAGCAAAGATAGGCGTCCCAGGCTTATTTTAGACTCCATTAACATGTTCTTTCACAAGTTAAACACTTTAAAAACCTGGTGGTGACTCTCGCGCGGGGGTCTCAAAGGAGCGAGCTAGCAAAGAGTTAGCTCTTAGCCAGGACGAGCTTACAGGCAAATGTTTAGTTTAAAAGGTTTTTAAAAAAAATATTTTCTCCTGTCACATCGAAAGTATCTGTAATCTAAACGAACGCCCGCCAACTAAAACATCCCCCGTGGACGATAGTAAACCAATTCGCCATTTCAAACTTAGATTAGCACGATGGATTAGCAAAGAGGAAATCAATGTCGCCACATTAGCAAAGCTCGTGTCACCGTGCTGATTCCATTTCATCACAGGAGAAAGTGAGATTGGTATTAAATTTTATTGACACAGTCTCAAAAGCACTTTTAAATAAAATATAATTTACCTCTTTGGGTCTTTTCTCCCTGCCAGTGTCGCCAACTCCTCAGTAAGGAAAGTAGCTGTTGGCGGTCCTACAAGTGCAAGAAGTGTAAAAATGACTTCATCCCTAATTTGCATATTTTGCGATTTGCATGTAATTGTGATGGACGCTGCAGGAGAGAGGAATAATGTCACGGGACAGACAAAAAGTGAGTGAGAAACACCCTAAATATGTTTATTTTTTTATTTATTTTGCCACTGAAATAAGCCATCACTTCTCACAATAACTTCAATGCTTTGTCTAGACCCACATTAAATAAATCAGATTTGTCCTTTATTGTTAGAATATCAAATGTAATCAAACGACTGTAATGTGGGGTGAAGCTGGCAGCTTTACGTCCAACCCTCCTCCCATTGTCTGGGCTTGGGACCCAAAGTCACCCAAAGACACTTCGGCAGAGTTACTTATGTTTTTTGTTGTTTAGTTGTTGGATTTCTTTATTGTTTTCTCTGACATGATTAGCTAGCTAGATGTTTATCTCATGTCACAGAGAGGCTGTGTGAGTCAAATGATTTATTTCACTGTGACTGTAGGAGCTATTTTGTAGTCTTTAGGTTTTTCTAATATCTGTTAATTAGTTTTTGTTTGGATTATCCAATAATATTTACTTTGCTAGTTATTTGTGTAGGTTTATTATTTGCTTATTTATCACATTTTGTTTGGGTTAATTTATAGTTTATTTTATGGGTTTATTTGATAGATTTGGGTAACACCATGGGCACGTGAGGTTATTTATGTAGGCAGGATTCACAGGACCAGCATGCACCTGGGTGGGCCTATGGTTTCTTACCAGAGCAGGAGAGGCAACAGGAGGATGGCAGCTTTGTTCTTTTGTTTGTTTGCCTCACTGGTAATAAAGGAAGTAAGAAAAACGCAATAATTTGGTATGGACAATGACTCTTTTGCCTGCGTAAACCACATACCCATGGTGCATCAGTGGCCTTTTGATTATTGTTTAAGTTAAGTTTATTTTAGAGACAAATAGCCACTACAGTGACAGTGAAGAAACTTTACACTCTACACCCTGAAATTCGAGATAATAATAATAATGGCTGAGATAACACATTCAGGTTTGGCGTTGGAGGGCTTCATAACTCACTCCCATTCAGGGTTAGTTGGTTTGGAAGGACACTTAATGTTGTGGATCCTGCCTACAAATGTGACTGTGCAGTTTTTTTCTGGGTGTAGGCATTGCAACAGCTAGACAACACTGCTACCTTGAGGGAAAAATGGTAATTACAACACTGCTCTCTCATATTTACCCAGAAAGTTGTTCAAAGAACTTCAGTTATAACATGTGTCGGGACTCTACAGTTTTTTTTTTTAAATTAAAGCATTAGAAAACGGATGTCGGTTATCGTTTTGGACAGTTTGACAGCTAAACATTGTTAGAGATGAATAGCTTGAGAAATGAATAACATTGCACGCCTCCTTGATGGCTACCAGCCAAAAAAGAAGCAGGCGGATGAACATACTTTGTGGTGTGACTGTGCCTCTGCCAGGGTTGCTAAGTGACTGTGATTTTAAACAAATGTCCAGCGATTTCTAGCTCAGATTAGTACAAACACAAGCAAAACTAAGATGTATATATTTCTACTTTGCAAACATGATTCATCATCCTGCACATCATCTTACCTCAGTTTTCAGGTCAAACCCTGTTGATGTCAAGGCTCCAAAACTAAAACCCAGACCGAAGTGGGCAACAGTCTGTTCTGGGCACCAGTGATCTCTGTACTGAATATCACGGCAATCCATCCAATAATTGTTGAGCTATTTCACTAAACAATCATCCTCGTAGCGGCGCTGGAGGGCTGGATCCACCGAAGTCTGACCCAAGTGTTGCCCAACATCAAAATCAAACTTTGCCCTTTATACACAGTATCACCATGGAAGTAGTAAGTTGTCGTCAAAAACATTTTAATTGTGATGGATTATCAAACTCAAATAACTTCTAAATGAGATTACGGAACCTGAAATATATCTTAACCCAGATCTCTGCTGACTAATGCGGGTGCATTAAAATCTGAAGCATTTGTTCCTTCACGTCATTACATTACACGGAACTAGATGGATTTCCTAGATTTCCCCTACTTTCTTGTCTCTCTCTCAACTGTCCTAGATAGATACAACTTTATTGATCCCTTTGGTAGAACCTCAGGAAATTGTTAGGGAAATCATTGTCCTATATAATAAAGGCAAAAAGGCCAAAAAAATCTTAATGTTAAGCCAAGTCTTTACACCAAAACATATTGAGTTATCATCTAGTGACTTCTTATCCGTCTCAAAATGAAAGTTGATTCATCACAATAAGAGTAATACAGACACACACTGACACTAACACTGACTAAACACAAATTAATTCTGGTTCAAATAAAGGTTTCAGTTTTATTATTATAATGTTTTCAACCAACAGCTATAAAACCACACCTTCCTTCGTCAACACGTACAAACCTTAGATGCAAATTTGTCTTTTTTTTGGTGGATTTATCTGTGAGATCAGAAGCTTTATTGGGGTGACTGAGGTCACTCACAACCTGTCTTTCCATGACTCGAATGCCAAATGACTCATGGTTCACATTTGGCAAGAACAAAAGTTAAAAGAACACCAAAAACACAATATGTCAATCATTATCATCATTCTTTCTCTGCGATCAGCTCAAGCTGCATGTGTGAACACTGCTGATCAACTACACATGAAATCCCAGCAACAGAAACTCCTGAGTTAAAACAGCAAATCAGGTCAGGTTGAAAATTCTGAATGAAAATACTTACACGAGTTTAGCGTGAAAATAAAAATACACCACAGCGTAACCTGGTAGCAGAAGGTGTTAATCGGTTGCCTGTTAGCAAAAGAACACTCGGTGTGTCCGAGACTCTCGATGGATATGGAACGTTGAATACAGGTGCGTGACAACCAACTTACAAAACAATCATGGACTGCAATCTTAATGGGCCTCGTTCCAAGTTCTGCCTGTTTTAAATGAATGGGGAGTGGCAAAACCCATCCATCCATTATCTATACACAGCCCCCCCGCTCCTCANCTTCTGTGAGCTGTGTTTGGGTCCAGTGTGAGTTCACAAGCATCTGATGGAGAGAATCAGACACAATAAAGCAGAAGGTAGGAGGACACACATTCTAACAACTGGGCAGTTACTCTTACTCTATATTGCAAATACAAATGTCATTAAGAATGCGCCCTGTGAAGGACTGTCATCACCACAAAGACACAAAAACGTGTGTTAGTCTCACAATATTTTGTATTAATCCAAATACAAACCATGTAAGTATATTTAAAAGCACATAAAACAGAGACCATGAACATGACACAACACTTAAACATCACGTTCTATATTAATGTGCAGTGTATAATGTAATATACGTACACTTCTGCAGACCACGTTTTAGCCTGTGCTCTCCACCATGGTCCACTCTGAAAGAACAAACAGTGAGGAAACGCCCCATTTAAACCAAAAACACATTTCACACAACACAGAATCTACAACTTCACCATTTAACTTGGTTCAAAAGTGTGAGTTTGAATGAAAATTTTAATAATTTAACAAGACAAAGAGTTGTCCAGTGGTTTTCAGTCTGAAATGGCTTTTTCAGGGCTTCAGACCCAAGTTGTAATAAACAGAATGACCCTCCTGCACTGCTCTCTTCTACAGGAATGGCTGGAAGCTCTCAGCCTGCTACAAGCCTTACTTCAGTGTTTCCAGTTTCCACTGCGGATCCTCCAGTCCAGCTGAGAGCAGCTTCACCCCACAGTCTCCTGGATGGTTGTAGCTCAGGTCCAGCTCTCTCAGATGGGAGGGGTTGAAGCTCAGAGCCGAGGCCAGAGAGGAGCAGCCTTCCTCTGTGACCAGGCAGCCTGACAGTCTGTGAACAGAGACTCCATTCAATGCTGATCACTTCATCAATCGTGCCAAAGCATAAGCACTCAACCACATTAATAATCTGTTCCAACCTGAGGGTCTCCAGGATACACTGAGGACTCTTGAGTCCAGCAGAAAGCTGCTTCACTCCTGAATCCTGCAGGTCGTTGTTGCTCAGGTCCAGCTCTTTCAAACTGGAAGTCTCGGAGCTGAGAGCTGAAGCCAGAGATTCACAGCTTCTCTCTGACAGCTGACAGTCCCTCAACCTGAATAACAGTGAGTGATGAAGACACAGAGCCTGCATGTGTTCCTAATTATTTATACTATTAGATTCAGTTCTTAAAGAAGACTGACCTGAGAGCTTCCAGTTGACAGCGTGGACTCTCCAGTCCCACAGAAAGAAGCTTCACTCCAGAATCCTGCAGTTTGTTGTTGTTCAGCTCCAGCTCTCTCAAGCTGGAGGTCTGTGAGGTGAGAACTGAGGCCAGAACATCACAGCTCTGTTCTGACAGGTCACAGAAACTCAGCCTGGAGAAGAAAAAATGATCAAATAAGCAAACAAACAATTGAAAAAATATGTTAATAAGTCTTTAAGCAGAAAAAATGATCCAATGTAACCCCCAATAGGACTGGATTTACTTCCCATCCAGAGTGCATTCATGTTATGTGAACCTGTCTGGAATAGTTTGGGAACCAGCTGACCTGAGTGCCTCCAGTTTACAGTGTGGACTCTTCAGCCCGGGACTGAACACCAGCACTCCTGAATCCTGCAGGTTGTTCATACTCAGGTCCAGCTGTCTCATGCTGGAGGACCGGGAGCTCAGGAAGAAAGCCACAGAATCACAACCTTTCCACGTCAGCGCACAGTCAGTCAATCTAAAAAGAAGATAAACATCAACTTTCTGGGTTTCTACGTATTGAAGCAGAATCTAAGTGACGTGTCATCGTTGTCAAAATCAGAACGTAGGATGTGGTTATCATAAGGGCTGCTGACCTGAGAGTTTCAAGTCTACATTGTGGACTCGCCAATCCCACAGAGAGCCGCTGTATTCCTGAGTCCTGCAGGTCGTTGTTAGTAAGGTCCAGCTCTCTAAGACTGGAGGACTGACAGCTGAGGACTGAGGACAGATCTACACAACTGTCGGATGAAAGATCACATCCACTCAGCCTGAAAAAAAAAAAGAACAAGATGGAACAAAATAGATGTTTCTTCTAGTAGTATTATTATGAGGTTCAATATGAGCATCCTGTAAGAGTTGAGAGAAAGCGCTCCCATCATTACAACCACTGAAGTGAAGGAAAATTCCAGCATTGGAACTGTGTTTATCTAAAATGCTTCAGAAAGCTTGTTTAGCTCGTATGTTAATCTGCATATTGTCCTCATTACCCTCAGTCTCTTAAACAGAGGCAGTAAGTGCAGAGTTAGTATAAGTCTTAGAGTCACAACAGTCACATTTTGTGGGACATAAGGCNAGGAAGGATAAAAGTTTGTTTTAGGCACCACAGAGGTTTACTACGGAGCAAGTTTGACAGGGTCACATGTTTTTGTGTATGCTGGCTCAACGAAACCAAAAACCCCAGTCAGAGATAATGACTATCACAATGGTAGCCAGGCTTTCTTTGTCCGGTTCTGTTAGTTCCCATAAAAGAAGACATTTGATACAAGATTTGACTCTTAATGGTCTGCACAAAATGGGCAAATAGTGTGCTGCCGACTTCAGTCAATAGGAACAGCTATGAGAAATACCAAAAAGCACAGCTTCTGAAAATGACTCAAGGGAGGAATGCTCGTAGAAAACCATGTGCTAATATATTTATTTTACCATTTAGTGCTGTCAAGATGATAAGCAGGAAGTTCAATTAGGTCTGACACTGTCCCATAAAGAAGGATATGTTGATATCGCTTTATGTTTTGGCCAAATCAAAGTGAAATTTATACTGCTGATTGAACATTTCAGGGAAAAACATCAATCATATAATAAATTTTCAAATCTGTGCTCCATTAGCTGCAGCACTAGCACTGTAAAATGGAACTTGCATATTTATCCACCCATCGATTTTCTTCTAACTCACATATGTCAAAGTCAAGGCCCGTGGGCCGGATCTGGCCCACGAATGAATCATTTATGCCCCCCTGGATGATATTTAATTACTATTAGAACCGGCCCGCAGGCCACAACCGCCCGCTGGTGTTTCGCACGCACCAGCACCACATTCCCCACAATGCAACGGTAGCACGCGAAGTCACTGCAGCGCAGCAAGCGCGGGCGGGCAGCGCAGCAAGCGGCTTCATTATTCATCAGCAGTCAGAGCAGAGGTCAACTTTCAGCGACCCCCCTCCTCAAGAATGGCTACACGGAAGGTGGATGCTGANTCAACAATGACTCAGAGAGGAGAGCTGGGAGCTGATGAGCAAACAGACGCTACGGTGGGGGTTATGGTGAACCGGCTTGCAAAATACTTTCCATTACAACCTTAATTGCAAAAGTCAGTGTGGTTCCCCCCGAGAACCACGAAGGAACAGGCAGGAAACAGTCTAATAACGATTTCTAGAGCTGCATACGAAACAAAATTATAAATACAGCATGTTATATTTTGCTAAATTCTTTGTAAACAGGGGAATGCGTATTTGTGAAACAACCAACCACGTTGGGAATGAGGGGTTGATGGAGACTGTGATCATAGAGCAGAAATCACAAGTCAGTGCGTCCGTTAAAAGGTCCAAACTGTACAAAACAACACAAAAATATTTAGTACGTCACAATACGTCAAATATGGAGTCCCAAAAATATCTGGATGTCCTACATCTGATGGTTTTACAAGTGTATGTTTAAACAATAAACCCCGTAGTGTTGCAAAACCAGGTATCTTATCTTAACCAGGTACCGCGCATAGACGCAGCGCCCCCTTCAGGAGACGACAAAAGTGAACGTTTTGAGTGTCTTGTCCGTCCCAGACGTTCATTCCGCAAAACTTACTGGTTGAATAATCCTGAAGAAACGCTCTCTCATCTTGCCTGTACGACTGTATATGTACAGCAACATGACAATAAACTTGATTTGAATTTGGTCAGATTCTGCAGCCTGGAAGCTTCTCTGGTCATTCTGTAAGTACTGATCCCTCCCTATGTGGACATTAAGATACTGCACAGACTCCTCCGGATGTGGAAAATAACTATATTGTGCATTTTTGCTCACTGAAAGCAAAAAGAAAAAGGATGCAATTTGGAAGGGCCCCCCATGCATCACATAGAGCCTCGTATGTGTGATGCAGAGTTAATAATGACGCTGACGGTGCTGTTTGTGGAAGGTCGCCATGGATCGAGTCGCTTGACACTGAGTCAAACAATTGGGCGTTCAAATGCATGACTGACTGCAGCTCTAACTGACATGCCAACCATTCAACAGACAGTTCTCGACTTCCTCTGTTCACCTGAGGCATCCTGTCATTTGAATAAAGCTGCAGTTTAAAGCTTCATTCAAATATAAGACGCGCCCTTTTGACCGTGAACTGCTCAAAAGGACACGTGTTCAGGACCACTTTGTGTTCAAAATGTTATTCTGGATCGCATATAATTAGAGAAGACAGAGGATGATCAAACAGTGATCAAGTCCGCTAAGACAAACTGCCCTCGTTCAGAATTCATGGGAAAACCTGATGGGAAAATAACTTTCATATCAATCAATACATTTGTTATTTTATACAATTTGCATGATTTCTGTTGCACAAACATCGTGAAAAAGCAATGCAGTATTTTATACCAGGATATCTATTGAGTCTTGTTAAAGTATAAATTTAGCGGATATATATATATATATATACACTACTGGTCAAAAGTTTTAGAACACCCCAATTTCTCCATTTTTTGTTTATTTTTTTAACTGAAATTCAAGCAGTTCGAGTCCAATGAATAGCTTGAAATGGTTACAATGCTTAGTGGTGAACTGCCAGAGGTTCAATAAAAAAGTCAGGTTACCCAAAACTGAAAAATAACATACATATCAGAATTATACAGGGAACAAGAAATGGGTTTCCAACTTAAAGCTGTTCCGCAGCAATGGAGGTTGATCAGGCCTTGAAAGTTGTTGCTACCAGTTCCTACAGGTGTCCCAAAAGTTCTTGATTACTTACAACCCCCTGTGTCTGCATAAAAGTAGTGTTGGAACACACTGAGGTACCGCACGCTCGTGAGTACTTTTTGAACAGTTCTGTACTGCAGAAAGTACTGTGTTGCCATAACAACGGAACAACGGAGGAGAGACAGACCACTACAACACCTAATAATGTAGGTCTCTCCTACAGACAAACTGCAGAAGTTTGCATCATCAAAGAAAACTAGCAAACAAATGACAGGAAGCGGTCTGAGAGATACCCAAAGCCACAGCAGACAGAATCAGAAGTCAAGTATCTCAGAGTCAACTGCACAGTTCCCACGAGAANTTTCTTTTTTTCAAGGTTACATAAAATAAGTTAAATCAACGCTGACAGTCCTGACAAAACTTACAAATAGTCAAGACAATTCATTTCTTTAAGTTCTTTTTTTTTTTTTTTAAATAAAAAAACTTATAAACTTGAGTTCAATATTCAAAACTTATCATGACAATTTGAGTTAAAAAAAAATTCACATAACTTAAGGGGGCCCTCATGTTTTACAGTGCAGAAATCACAAGTCAGTGGGTGCACTCCAAGAAAAGCAACAATAAAATTGATATCTACGGAGCCCGTCCAGTGACATCGATAAGAAATAAAAATAACTCATTCCCACGCATTAGTAAATCGTGGCCATGAGATGTAAATGTGTGGGAACGACATAATTATCACACAGTGTTTAGGTGTTAAGCCGATTTAAATCCCAAACCCTGAACATAACCTGCTCCCGACCAGGTTAGCCCCACGGCATCAGTTACCATGGAGACCTAGCTCCACAGCATCAGTTACCATGGAGACATAACTCCACAGCATCAGTCACCATGGAGACCTAGCTCCACAGCATCAGTTACCATGGAGATCTCACACCTTCGTGACACTGAAAACTCTGGCTTTAAGCTCAACATACTTGGCTAACCCGCTCATCTCACTTCATAGTACAGCCCCCTGGTTGTTTTTTTTTTTTTATAAAGTGATGAAAATGTCCCGGTCCTGTCCTGGAGGAGGCATACTGTAAATGTATTGCAATTATAAGGCATCTTTGAGTGAACTTCGAGTATCATTTGAGTATCTGATCGCTGGGCCGAGTGTCCTGGTTTTTGGTAATCAAAATATGGCCACCCTATTCGTGGGTAGGTTGTGTCTGCAGCACTTGGCTTTGTCTCTGAACACATCACGCTTTGTACTTTTGGACACTCCAGCAAGGCTGCAATCCTGGAATATGGTGGCACTGGAGGATAACGGATTCCTGGAAGCTTTATTCTTTATTTGGATCCCCATTAGCTCCCACAAAGTGGTTGCTTGTCTTCCCAGGGTAAAAATATGAAACATTAAAAATACATAATAAATAGCAAACATTTCATTCATAATGCAACCTGGTACAAATCAGTAAATGGGCTACAATAAAGGAAAGCTTCAAGCTTCTTTGCAGTTAAATTGCACCTTTAAAAAAAAAGTTTTTTGTTGTTGACTGCAACAAAAGCTTCCATCCATCCATCATCTATACACCGCTTAATCCTCACGAGGGTCGCGGTCGCCAGTCTATCACAGGGCTACACTTAGAGACAGACAACCAAGCACANGACTAGCTACCTTTGCCACATCCGGCATCAGAATGTAAAAAACTTCAAAACTTGTCACAGGATATTATAAACTAATATGCAATTACTGGAAAAAAAAAAACTGCATAGAATGCAAGTATCAGTAATTTACAGTCAACATTCTGACATGATTTATAGTAAAAGTCCTGGGACTGGTGTCAGAAAACACATGTCGAAACAAATAAACGGTTGTAATGTTACAGAAATATTCTCACCGTTTCCTCTCTCTAAGGTTCCTCTGTCATCCCTTTCATGCAGCATGAATAACCGGCCGCTCCTCGATGGACGCCAGGCGAAGAGTTCAGCCCGTGAGATGACGACACAGCAACACAACAGCCACAAACTGTGAGTGTCAGAGCATCTCTTGCAGCTCAGTGTTTCAGCTCCGGCTGCAGCCAGTAGGTGTTGATTTCCTCACAGAACAGGATGCACATGTCTTCAGTGAAGCTGCAGGCAGTAGGTACAGTCACTGTAAAAAAAAAAAAAAAAAAAAATAAAGTAAAATAAATTCTGAAAAGATCTGGCAGCAAGGTGCTGGAAACAAATAGCTTCAAAAAAATGGTGATTTACTGTAACAGTCATAAACACCAAAGTGTCGGTACCATCATATTTTTTAGTTCATTTAAACACAGTCAAATATTTGAGAAGCAAGTTACTAAATTACACATACAAAAAACCTTTTTGATATTAATATTATGTACCGTTTAGGACTTATTTCTTTTTTTTTAAAATAGGCAATATGTCATTTAAATTAATACATATTTTTTTCTGTGATTTCACCAGATATCTGCAATTTCACAAACAGAAAAAAATAAATAATAAAATAAGAGTAAATCCTTCAAAAAGATTTGTGTGTGTGTGTCTGTGGGTGATTTTACTAGATAGCATCTGTCATATATCAAAATGGGAACTATCTGCAAAATGCCTTTTTTTTTACATATAGAAAAAAAAAATAGTTAATTTTCCAGTCAAAAGTAATAAATTTATATAAATACAGATTTTTATCATATTTTTAAAGTGTAATGTCATTTGCAGTGTTAGCTTGAGGTATGTAGCTGCCCCCTGCTGGCCATGATTGCACCGAGGCCCAGTGAACCATTATTCCGTCCGACTTACCACAAACTAGGTGTTTTCTTTCACTCATCACGGGTGGCTGGTTGTCCGAGGTGAAATGGGTGCTATCCATGTGTACATCACATGATGTTTATAATGGAAATGTCAAAAAATGATGACCTTGGGTCTGACCTTGAAATATCACCCAAGGTCAAATGTCACATGACCAACAGAAAGCCCCAACATGGTCGCTTATACAGATTCAGAACAAACAAAGAAGAACTCTATATAAAAAGATGAAATTAAATAATGAGCACGGTGTTATTGCACAGAGTGGAGAGGTCGTGGCAGTTGTATATTTACAGTATATTGCACATTATTGCGACAGGGAGGCGTTTATGGCTCTGACAGCAGTTGGAAAAAAGCTGTTTTTCACTCTGTTAGTCCTGGTTCTGATGGCCCTGCACCGTCTACAGTAGCTCAAACAGGAAATGTCCCGGGTGGTGAGAGTCCTTCAGGATGGTGTGGGCTCTCCTGAGGCAGAAAGAGCCATGAAGGTCCTCCAGTGTGGGTGGAGGACACCCAGTGACCTTCTCAGCCATTTTGGTGACCCTCTGGAGTTCTTTCCTGATGGAGGAACAAGATGGCGGTGTGCGTTGTGTACGTCTTGCTTGTTTCAACTGCCTTCTGTCGAGCTAAATTCATCTACAGCCGACAGGATCTGTTAAAAATCGGAGTTTCGTGCGAGATGAGTGTCACAGCGGAGTCCTCTCGTTCATACAACGTCCCAGAGTACATAACGCCGGTTAAGTTGATTTGATTAAATTCAGTGACAATGTTCTGCAGTGTAAAGTTGGACGACCATGGATTTATCCAAACAACGAAACAGGAAGCACACTTTTATTTATTTATTCTTAAATCAAGATCTTACAGCCCAATATTGATTATTTTTCGCAAAATGCATAGAATCAAAATCAAAGTATACATGAATAAAAACATGAAACTGTATAAAATACATTCAGAGCACTGCTCACGATTTCTTGGTGAGATCTAACCTGGTTCACCAACCACCCTCTTCCCTTTTCCTCCCCAACATCCTTTGGATAAAAGTTACCTACTCGTGCACTGCATTATAAAAATAAACAAAACTTAATATAAATTGTGACCTGGCTGCCTTACAATCTTGAGTTAAGAAGGCTGAGAAATTTAAGCTGTTTGCACACACACATATATATATATGTCCATCCATCATCTATACACCGCTTAATCCTCACTAGGGTCATGGGGGGCTGGAGTCTATCCCAGCTGACTCATGGTGAAGGCAGGTTCACCTGGNCAACTGCGCCACCTTGCATCCCAGTGGCAAAACCGTTCTTTCTAATTGTTATTTCTCACATTTCAAGCTGGCGAATTCCCCTGACAACCTGATTCTGGCCATTTGATGAAGTAAACTTGCAGGTACAGCTTTGTAAAAAAGGAATGGTTAAAATCACAGAAGCAGAAATGATATCTTGAAATATTTGAGCCTTTTGCAATGCTGAATCTGACATTTCCCATAGATCAAGTCTTTCTTTGACACTTCTTTACTCCTACCCCATGTTTTTAGTTTTTTTAAAGAAGGCTTTATGTTTTAAAACAACAGGAAAGTACGATAACCCTGATTAATTCACGTAAGACATCATCAGGGTCTGTTTGCAAAGATCGGAAATCTTCAGCGGTGCAGAAAAAAGTCTAAATATTTCCACAGTTTGAAGAGGATTCTTAATGACAAGTAAACAGACCTCTCCCATGTGCAAAATTAACAAAATGCCCCGTTTAATAGCACCTGATCTGGAGGCTACACAGGATCTGGCTGTATTTCTGGTTTTTCTGGTCCACATTACAAGATAACGGTGTAGTTTGAGGTAGAGGTTGTCTTTGAAAATCAAGCAACCTTAGCATGTTCACATCGTCGGTGTTCTTTAGCAAAGTGCAAACCCTGAGCCCTGTATCATAGCAATGCCAAGAGCTAAAGCCCACTCTAAAAATAGAGTGTAATTTATAGTTTGTCATATGTGAAATTCTTCCAAATGGTGTACCTTCTGGATTCAAGTTAAGAGAAAAAAAAAGCCTGAGGGGGGAAAAAAAACACAGCAACAATGAGAAAACAATATCAATGAACTAAGAGAAACTCCACTGGCTTAAAGCTAAAAAGAAAGAAAAGAAAAGAAAAGAACAAAACAGTGGCAACAATTCTCCAAAGTTTAAGAGCTACGTGACCAGTTGTTAGGAATCAGGCGGTTCAGGATCCTGCAGCAGGTGAAGCAGGCTGCTGGGAGGAGGCGAGAGCGGAGCTGTGGAACGAGTCGGGCAGGTTTTTGGCGTACTCCACCAGTACATAGGAATCTCTGATGTCAGTCAAGCCGAACCAGAAGATGGTCCACACCCCATTAACAAAGCTGCCGTCACAATGTTTAAAGTACCTGGAAACATAGAGACCACATGGCAAATTTTGACATTTATTTCAAACGTGCGTTGTAACAAGTCAAAGGGCACAATTTTAATCGGAGAACAGCAACAGGAAATGACGTTGTTGTGTCCTCTTCTACGCATGCGGGACACTTTTGGGTCATATGAAGTTCACACAGCAGATCACATACAAGTCGTATTTAATTAAAAATGTGAACGAACTCACAAAAAAATCAGATTTCACAAAAAAATCTGAATTGATCACTAAGTCCTGCAGTGTGAACGTAGCCGATCTGTGGGATTGTTCAGTCAGATAATACGCCGTTATCCTTATTTGTGACATAAAATGTCATGTCGAGAGTCAGAATCAAAGGCTGTTGGTATGTTAAGGCTGTTTTTCATGGGTCCGTCCATCCATCCATTGTGTTCCGCTTATCTGGGGTCAGGTCGCGGGGTCAGCAGGCGGAGCAGGTCGTCCCAGACTTCCCTCCCCCCGGCGACGCTTTCCAGCTCTGCCTGGGGAATCCCGAGGCGTTCCCAGGCCAGCTGAGAGATATAATCCCTCAAGCGGGTTCTGGGTCTGCCCTGGGGTCTCCTACCAGGTGGACGTGTTCGGAAAACCTCCAGAGGAAGCCTCCCCGGAGGCATCCGAACCAGATGTCCGTACCACCTCAACTGGCCCCTTTCGACGCGAAGGAGCAGCGGCTCTACTCTAAGCTCTCTCCGGATGTCCGAGCTCCTCACCCGATCTCTAAGGCTGAGCCCAGCCATCCTGCGGAGGAAGCTCATTTCGGACGCTTCTATCCACGATCTCGTTCTTTCGGTCACGACCCAAAGCTCGGGACCATAGGTGAGGGTTGGGATGCAGATGGACTGTCCATCTCATGCTCCATTTGACCTGTGTTTACATTTGGAAACAGTGTGGATGCCCTCAGAACTGTGTTGGCGTTGTCTTTTGTCCAGGCGCCTTTTGCTTGCTTGTTCTTACGANGTACGTAACAGCGTCCACATGTGAATACTTGTTGGTGGATGTGTCCAAAGTTTGGGACAAATTGGAATTATTTTCTGACAATGGCACATCCTGAAATCAGAGAAGATTCCATTTGCCACCACTATCTTGGCATAAAAGTCACGATTGTGTAACAATAGAATGCGTAGTGTGTCACCCAAGATGTTTGTTGCTTTGGTCCAGACAAACGTAGGCCATCGTCATGTACACAAAAATATCATAGTAACAAAATGATCTAAAAACATCCTTGAAAAAGACAAACAGACCTGAGTGTTTCCAGTCTGCATAGTGGATCTTTCAAGCCTCTTACGAGCTCCTGGACTCCTGCATTCTCCTCCATATTGTTGTCAGTCAGATCCAGCTCTTTCAGGTTGCAGGACCGGGAGCTGAGAACTGAGGCCAGAGCTTTACAGCTTTTCACAGACAGCTTACAGCCCCTCAGCCTGAAAATGTAGCCAGAAAATGAATGAACAAGATTCTCAAAATCTAACATTTGCAGAGTTTAATATGCAAAGTAGGTTGTACCCACAGAGAAACTCTGGAGGCTTGAACCAGTGGCAGCAACTGCAGAAGAACTTCCTCTGAAGCAGAGAATTTCTTCAGGTCAAACACATCCAGCTCTGAAGACAGTATGATGGAGATAAGAGCCGACCACTGAGCAGCAGACAGATCTTTTGAGGGCAGACTATCTGAACTCAGGTACTGTTGGATCTCCTCCACTACAGAATCATCTTTCAGCTCATTCAAACAGCGGAAGAGGTTGATGCATCTCTCTGGAGATGGATTCTCTTGGATCTTCTGTTTGATGTACTGGACTGTCTCCTGATTAGGCTGAAAGCTACGTCCTGAGTTTTTTATCAGGTCTTGAAGAATCTCTTGATTGCTGTCCAGTGAGAGGCCAACGAGGAAGCGCAGGAACAAGTCCAGGTGTCCATTTGGGCTCTGTAAAGCCTTGTCTACTGCACTCTGGAGGAGCTGGTTTCCTCCAGGTTGGTCTGGGTTCACTGCAGGCTGTTGGGAGGTTGAGTCTTCTTCAGACAAGAGGTTAACACCAGAGTTGATGAATGACACAATGACATGAAGAGCAGCCAGAAACTCCTGAAAGCTCAGATGGACAAAACTGAAAAGCTTGTTCTGGTTCGGCCCAAGCTCTTCTTTAAAGATGTTTGAGAACACGCCTGGGTAGAATGAGGCTACTCTGGTATTAATGCCACATTCTGCAAGATCTGTTTCACAGAAGATCAGGTTTCCTTTCTTTAGCTGCTCAAAAGCCAGTTTTCCCAGAGACAGAATCATCTTGCTGGTCTCTGCGATCCAACGTGGATGTGTCTCTGCTCCTTCATTTGCCAGTTTGCACTGAACCAACAGGAAGTGTGTGTACATCTCAGTCAAGGTCTTGGGCAGCTCTCCTGCCTGACTGCTTTTCAACATGTCCTCCAGAACTGTCGCAGTGATCCAACAGAAGACTGGGATGTGGCACATGATGTGGAGATTACGAGATGCTTTGATGTGGGAGATGATCCTGCTGGCCAGCTCCTTATTTCTGAATCTCTTCCTGAGGTACTCCTCCTCCTTTGCATCAGTGAACCCTCTCATCTCTGTCACCACGTGAATGGACCCTGGAGGGATTAGACCGGCTGCCTCAGGTGTTGTGGTGATCCAGACACGAGCAGTCGGGAACAGTTTCCCCATGATGAGGTTTGTGAGCAGAGCGTCCACTGAAGCCGACTCAGTAACATCAGTCAAGATCTCGTTGTTGTGGAAGTCCAAAGGAAGCCGACACTCGTCCAGACCATCGAGGATAAACACAGTCTGGAGTTTATCAAAGCTGCAGTCTCCTGCTTCTTTGATATCAGCAAAGAAGTGATGAAGAAGTTCGACCCAGCTGCATTCTTTCTCCTTCACCAAATTCAACTCTCGGAAAGTGAGCGGAAACACCAACTGCATCTCGTTAAAGACTTTGTCTTCAGCCCAATCCAGAGCAAACTTTTGTGTCAAGACAGTTTTCCCAATACCAGACCCTCCTTTGGTCATTAATGTTCTCAATGATGCATGTTGACCAGGTGTTGATTTAAAGAAGTCTTCCATGTTGATAGTTTCTCTGGATGCTGTTTCACTTCCTCTTCTCTCTGTCATATACAGCTCATTGTAGATATCATTTATCAGCAGCAGCTTTCCAGATTTCGTGGGTTGTTTAAACAAATGCTGGAATTTCTTCTGCACATAGGATTTGAGTTTAAGCTGGCAGGCAGTGAGAGTTTCTGAAAAAACAAATAACAGAAAATATTACCAATTATAAGCTGTTGCAAGTGGAATGAAGCAAAGATTTCCAGACAAATGAACATAACGACCATCTATGTTACCCATTCAGCGTATTCTCAGGTGAAGTAACAGCGTGGCTCAGTTCTAAAAGTAGACTTTCATGCTTTTAGTTTCATCCTCTAAACATACATTAAAACAGTTTTTGGCTTCTTGGGTATAATGGAACTGTGAACACAATGCTGACATAACGCATATTAACTTTTCAAATTGATATGGTGAACTGCTCATTTACACATCGATTCAACTGGAGTCATGTTTCCAATCATTCAGCAAATCTGGCTTCAACATTCATTCACCTTCTTGCCCTTCAGAGCTTCCAGGTCTGAAAAGTGAAATCACCATGAAAGTGCCTTAAATCTGCACTATTTTTAATAGCCAGCCAATGGAGACTCCTCTGGTGCCAAAAAGAAGTCAGATTGTAAAGAAGTCTATGAGAAAATCCCACTGAACTTTTCACCTGCTTACCTTTTGATGCTGAGTTCAAGATTAATAAGCGCTGCACCAAGTCATTCTTTTGGATCAGCTTCAAAACTTTAATGGTCACTTCCACAGCGTTTTTGTCGTGGGTGTCTCGGATCTCATCCACTGTATCCATCCTGTCGGCCTTCTCCAACTGGAACTTTGGGATTGCTGGGAAGTCGTCCAGGATCTCAGACTGCTGCAGGAACCATTTGAACTTTTTAAAGTCTGCATCTTCCAAATCCTCCAATATTCCCAACAGGTCGTTGGGTGAAGCCATGGTTTCCTCTTGCTAAAACAAAATTAAACCTAAAAAATGTAATTAAAAAAATGGTCAGTGCATGTAAATTTACAAATGTGGTACTTACTCAAAGGTTTGGGCACTTGAACAAGATTTGAGGAGCAGAGGCTGAGACATTCATTCGTGTGGGTAAAGCTCTAGAAACACTGAATCTTTTATGAAATTACAGACCCACAGAGGACTACAGCAGCATTTTCACACAAGTTCTGCTCAGAAAGATAAATTTAATATATAAGGTTAGTGAAGTGCTTATCTTTGATTAATAAGTCAGTTACGTAAATTAGTGAATTTGTTTGGAGTTAAGCGACTTCATTGGGAGAATACAAATTATAGTTTTGATCTAAAGTTACATTAGCTTTACAGTAAAGGCTGATACATTGCAAGATTTCTTGGTCTCACGAGGTTCATAAACTCTGAAACACAACCCACATGAGGCTGCTGGAGGCATAAGTCACAGGACTGTCACCTTGGTGACAAGTCTTGTGTGGTCCAATTGTTTTGTGGCATTGTCAGTCGCAGTTTTGGTTCCTTTTCAGACCCATTCTGTCACTTCTTGTGTTTGTTTATGCCACATAAGCAAACTGGTTAAGCTGAGGCACCCAAACTACTTGGTTAAAATTAGTCTTGGTTAAAATACAAAGCTCCCATTGTTCCATTCAAAGAAGGTTTTCCCAAAAAACATAAGCATCTGACAACTTAGCAGACCAACAAAACTATGACCCATTTTTTTGTGAGACTTGGCTGACGATCCTTTGCGTGTTAAATACTAACCATCAAGCCTTGAATGGTGTCTCTGTCTTGAACGGTAGCTTGCTCTGTTGTTGCGGATCACAGCTGCAGTCAGTTTAGAATGACAGCAGTTACAACTTTAAATATCTGCGATACTACAAACCCACAGCAGATTTAGCATATGTAAAAGAGCAGTATACTGATAACTGTTTAAGTTAACGTACCTTTGTGGTTTTGAAAATACTCTGCTGCCACACGGAAGTAGACTGGAGAGGCGAAAGAGAGGGAATCAATGTAGTATAGTATACACAAACGACCACAAATCACTGTAACAGCGTTATGTTTAAATAACAATAGAGATTAATCATTAACACATAGTTTGGGAAACAAATAATTGAACGGCAAACCTGACCTAAAGCCATAGACAGTAGTGGCTAACACTCCTGCCATTACATAAGCAGATGTTGCATTCTTGACTAAGGGTCACATCGTCTGCTGCAGTTACAAACACCAGCACCACACCTTGCCCGTTTTACACAGAGATGAATGTGTAAACCACCAGGGTGTGAGAGGTACATCACGTAGACTAAGTAAATAACAGCGTGTTTGCGAAAATGACGCTGTTATTTGTTTTATTCCTGGAACAGAACCTTCCAAACACCTCCACTTGGTTACATGTAAGATTTTGTCGCCTTGGAACAGAGCCAGAGTACCTATTACCCTTTGTTTATATAGCTGTAATGCTAAGCTATGCTAACTGGCTGTTGACTTCCATCAACACATACACAGGTGCTTCATACTACCTTGTGGGGTGTGTCTTTGCTGCTGCCAAAATGGAACAGCACTTCAGCCAGTTCAAAATATTAAACATGGCAGACTTTGTGTTGAGTGTGACACGTCAAAATAAGCACTCCTTTTCGAAAAAGACCACCATTTTAATCAGGCTTTTAATTGAACTTTAATTCTTTTATGTTCTTATCATTTATTTATATTTGCATTTTATCTTTGTATTTTATCTTTATGTATTTACTCTTAACTTTTATTTTATCTTGCATAAGGCCTTTTATTCTTAAAGGTTTTAGTTTTAATTCCAGTGTTTCCTCAGGGGGGGTCCTCCGCACTGGGGGCTGTGTGCGGTCTGCTGCTGGGGGTTCTGTCTGTGGGTCCCTTTGGCCCGGCTGGTTGGGGGGCTCCTCACCTCGTTGTGGGGATCCCCCTGTCTGCCGGGTCGGGGGTCCGGGCGCTGGCGCCCCCAGTAGTCATGGTCTGCAGCTCCTCCTGGTGTGGACGGCCCCAATGGTAGTGTTTCCCACAATCCCTCAGTGCCAAGCCACGCCTCTTTTAGTCTCGTGGTGAGTGTGTCTGTGTGTGCTCAAATGCATTTGTTGTATGTGTATGTGTATGCATGGAGGGTGGGAGGGACGGGTTTACTTTATTTTTTAAATGTTGTAATGTTTTTAAATGTTGTAATGTTTTTAACTGCTTTGTTGTTTTTAAATGTTGTAAAGCACTTTGCGATTGTTGTTGTTGCACATGAAAAGTGTTATATAAATACAATTTGATTGATTGATTGACCATCACACCAATCCTAAAAAAGCCTGGCCTTAACTCTGACATCCTGGACAACGTCAAACCCATCTCCAATCTTCCATTTCTCTCAAAAATACTGGAATGCTTGGTCTCCACTCAAGTCCAATAACATCTTCTCTCTTGCCAGCTTCTTGACACTTTTCAATCTGGTTTCCGCACCCACCACAGCATTGAAACGGCTCTTCTCAAAGTCACCAACAGCTTCCTCCTTTACTATCCTCCTCCTCCTTGATTTTACTGCCACCTTCGACACCACTGACCACTCCGTGTTACTCAACCGTCTCCAGTCATCCTACGGTATTATTAGTACAGCACTCTCGGTTTAAATCCTACCTTTCCGACCGCCACCACTATGTCCCCATCAACAACCGCAACTCTCACACCACCCCTGTCACCTATGGAGTCCCCCAAGGTCCGGTGCTTGATCCTCTCCTCTTCACTCTCGCTGTCTGATTCCTCGGACCGACTCTCCTCTACACTTGTACCTGACAGGCCACTGTGCTTGTGAGGCCTCGTCTTCTGCTGCGTTTTGACCTCAGAATCTTTCCGTTTCTTGCCTCATCAGCAAGACCAGAGACTCCCAGTGACACTGCCTCTCTCCCCTAATCATAGGCATTAGCTCAATGTGCTACATTAACACACAGCTTTTGAAGTAGGACCGTTATTATCCTGTGGCTCTTCAAGTTAGTTAGTGTTGGGAAGGTGAGAGGGGTAAGTAAAGACTGGAACTCAGGAGTTACTGCATGGCTGAGGCATGAGGGAGTCGGATGACCGGGGAAGGTAAGAATGCATGAGGGTCTCAGGTGGATGGATGGGGTTGGTCAGTGGCACACATAGGAACGATGGAACGTGGGTGAAATGCCGGGACAAATTCATCAAAATTGAGGCCTCACAATAACAAACGTCCAACCAGCAAATGCTATTCAAGGAGAAAAAGCATTTTTGCTTTCTTTCTTTGGAGCCATCATTCAAAGCACCAGAATAACGTCCAAATTCAACACTGAGGCACACAATGGCATTGAATAGCGTACATAAGCACACGCGTCAGGCACTGAAGCTATCTGCGACAACCTGAAGAATGTGTCATCGATATCAAGCATTTCCCTGTTGAGACGGATCTAAGTTCCTTTTGCTTCGTGCTGTTCAAATAGTGTACACAAACACACACACGCATCAGGTTATCTTCAATAAACTGCAAGGCATGTCATCAGTAGGAAACATTTCCCTGTTAAGACGGATCTAAGCTCCTTTTATGTCGTACTGTTGGGCTCACCGGAACATGTTCCATGCAAACATCATTATCTGGTCCTCATCTTGGACAACACGGCTAAAGGCGTGTGTGACAGATGGGCTCTAGCTTCCAGTCATGCTGTTTTGTTACTTTAATATGTATATTAAAATAATAATAAAAAAAAAGATCTACACCCTGAAATTCAAGAGTCTCTCTCTGCTCAAAATCTAAACAGAAACATAAGCATTTTAATTTTTTACAGCTTCTTTTACAGTGTTATTGAACTGGCTGAGATAATACATTCAGGTTTGGCGTTGGAGGGCTTCATAACTCACTTTATGTTGTGGATCCTGCCTACAAATGTATCTGTGCCATTTTTTCTGGGTGTAGGCATTGTAACAGCTAGACAACACTGCTACCTGGAGGGGAAAATGGTAATTACAACACTGCTCTCTCATATTTACCCAGAAAGCTGTTCAAAGAACTTCAGTTATAACATGTGTCGGGACTCTACAGTTTTTTTTTTTAAATTAAAGCATTAGAAAACGGATGTCGGTTTTCATTTTGGACAGTTTGACAGCTAAACATTGTTAGAGATGAATAGCTTGAGAAACGAATAACATTGCATACTTCCTTGATGGCTACCAGCCAAAAAGAACGATTGAAGCAGTCGGATGAAAGACATACTTTGTGGTGTGACTGTGCCTCTGCCAGGGTTGCTAAGTGACTGTGATTTTAACCAAATGTCCAGCGATTTCTAGCTCAGCTTAGTACAAACACAAGCATAACTAAGATGTATATATTTCTACTTTGCAAACATGATTCATCATCCTGCACATCATCTTACCTCAGTCTTCAGGTCAAACCCTGTTGATGTCAAGGCTCCAAAACAGGTTAAAACCCAGACCGAAGTGGGCACCAGTCTGTTCAGATGATGCCAAAAACTGGTGATGAATAAAAAGCAGACAGGCCTAAATCAAATTATTATTACAAGAGATCTATCAGGCAAAGGCAGATCATTCTCATAGATTCTTCTGTTAATGCAGCACTAACAAAGCAGGACCTTTCCCGTCAATACAGAAGCACCGTCTCGAGGTTAAAGACTTGGATCTACGTGATTGTAACAAGCCACATAAAGGAACAAAGAAAAAGAGGAAGAACACTGTTCTAACATTAGCTCTGCATATAAAACACAAGTTCCTCATGCACATTTACGGAAGTTGCACAAACACAACGGATTAGTACGATTAAAATTATTTTTCGGAGCAACACTGATGTACTTGGGACGTCTACTTTGTATTTGGTTACGCCGCTCAACTGAAATTTCTTTTCAGGGTGTGTGAAGTGATTCAGAAGTTGGCGTGAACGAAATTTACAAGTAGGGAACCTGTAATTATGAACATTCTGGCATGGTGTAAAGACTATAATTAAGTCAATTAATTATATTAACTATATTCTAAGTATATAGGTTGACAAGTCGTAGTTGTGGTTCCATCACTTCATTACATTACATGGACCGAGATGGATTTCCGAGAGACNAACCCACCGGCACGGGGAGAACATGCAAACTCCACGCAGAAAGATTCCGGTGCCCACACCCACACAACTTCCTTAAACCTAAAATCTGACAAGATAATTCCTTCAACTTCATACTTTAAGCCTACGTTTTTTTTTAGATCAGACACTTCAAGTTGTACAACCCTAAGTCGATGCCCAAGAAAACTGAAAATGACACATAGAACCTAAAACATTCTGCTGGTATCTTGAACTGTAAACACACAAAACGAGAAGTTGTTCGAGGGAAGCATCATTTTGAATTCATTGCCAATATTTAGCGGAATAAACACATGAAAGCTGGTTAAACTAAACCGCTTATTGAAATTATTTATCTTTGTATCTTCTGACAGGCCTCTTGTTCATCCTCTGCCTTATCGGTAAACAGATTTTGATTGGTTAAATAATTACCAGCAGTGAATCAATGAAAGATCGATCACTGACACCTCTTTTTTTAAACTTCTAAAACAAACAAGTCCTGGTTTCCGATGCATTATTGCAGGAAAACGTCCCTGTGTTGGGGGGTTTCCTATGCAATACATAATTTGAAATTTCAAATATATCCAACGCTTAAGTTGAACTTCAATCCATTTTTACGCCGTGATAAAATGTTGAATCTGTACGCAGCTCTGCTACAGTGTTAAGTCAGCGCTAAAGCTAATCAAACATCCCTGAATTGGGTCATTTCCACCCATCCTCTCCCCGTAAGCATTTGGATAGTTACACGTTTTTGTTCTCCAGGCTCTTTTCCATCACATTCACTTTGAAATAAAATGATGGAAAGTACATTACATGAAGAGCCTGGAAGCATACATGAGCTTTAATGTGAATGCACAGAACCCAAGAAGCAAACATACGCTACTTCCATGTGCAATTCATGACACTGACGATTCCGCACTAGATGTCTGACTGACTGTGGTCGATCGCACACAAGGACACCGAGGAATCAGTGCGTGATCGTGTCATTCCGCCACTCCTATACTGAAAGCCAAAGCCAAGGTAGAGAGGTTCAGTGAATCTGCTGTAGACGGTGTGGAGATGGATCAGAGTGTCAGAGGAGACTCTGTAGAAGGACACANGACCTGTGTTTACATTTGGAAACAGTGTGGATGCCCTCAGAACTGTGTTGGCGTTGTCTTTTGTCCAGGCGCCTTTTGCTTGCTTGTTCTTACGAGCCCAGATTCCGCTCTATGTACAAGAACACAGGCGAAGGACAACGATAAGGACGGTTATTTTACGACATCGAGAGACGGAAGCTTACTCTGATTGGATAGGATTTGGGGAACTACTGCCACCTAAAGGTGTGGCATGCTAATGAATGTGCTTAACAATGCACTTAGGTTTGGATGATTTGTTTTTCTAAAAACGAGGTGGTGTGTCGGGGGGAGGACAGTCGGTTTTATAAAAACCCTGCTACATGTGGACAAGGCCTAAAGCTGTGCTTAGATATTTGTGGGCTGGGATCTGGAAACACAGCAACATTGCTAAATAGAAGTAAATTGTCCAGAGTTTGCATCAGTGCATCTGACCTTCAGGAGGGTCAGCATTTATAGACCTCCTAGACTAGATCAGAAAAAAAAGAACATATCTGTGCACTTGTACTGCAGCACTGAACATGTTATTTGTTAAACAGGGATTTAATGGTGTCAACATCAACATTTTATTAAAAAGCGTTTCTTACCAGGGGTTGATCCGGTTGGTAGCTCTGGACCTCCAAAACAGTTTGCCCAGGTCCTGCCTGATACACTCCCACAGGATGTGACTGGTGCCCTGGCCCTGCTTACTGCTGCTCACCACAAACTTATCGAGGTAAGGCGTGCCGCTGTTCACTGGCTCCATGGTGATGATGGCTGCTGCGCTGTACCTGGAGGTACAGAGACTCGTATGTGACGCTCACACATTTGTGCAGTGATGCAGACAGGATGCTTATCATGATACCAACGCGGTGCAGGATTTACATGTTTGAATATTGTCTTGGCTGCACGCACCCTTCAGAGAGGTAGACGGAGTGCAGCCGTCCTTTCAAAGAGTCAATGTAGTCTTGCCTCAGGGTTTTATCAAATGACTTGTTGATGAGAGCCAGCAGACGCTCCACATTGATCTCATCCAGAGACGTGTACCTGCACACACAAAACAACTTGAAATTCTCTGCGTGTCAAGTCAAATGCAGTGTTTTTAATCTCATGAAGGAGAAAGTAACCCAACGCTTGCAAGGAGTTAATTTTGGTTCATGACTTGAATTTAGGGTTTCTACTGACCGGTGTATGGGGTCTCCGTTTTTAAAGAGCGTCCCAGAACCTAAGACAGAAGAGCAGACAGAAAAACAATTAAAACATAAACTTATGTTAATGATTTTTGCTTTTACGGTGGCCAAAAAAGCTTCCCCACAGGCACAAATATGCTGCCCTCTTGGGTTACATCTCAAAATAGACAACCCTTCACGTGTGCGTGTGTGTGTGTGTGTGTGTGTGTGTGTGTGCACATGCGGCCTCACCCCGGTGGCTGAACAGCTCGGTCAGCAGGGTGTCTGCCGAGGTGATCACAGCAGAGGACTCGGTGGGCAGCTGATTGAGCAGTCTGGCGATGGTGGTCACTCTGCGGCGCTCTGCTGCGCTCAGCCACACCGCCACGGACAGACCGGGCAGGTCGGTGGGCAACGACACCGTGTCCAGCACCTGAAACACAAACGTGAAAATTGTTCAGTACTGGTTCTTTAGTGTATTCTGCAGCACACAGTCAGACGGGGTCATATCGTAGATTTATGTCTAGAAATGCTTTCATATCTACTACATTTACGGAAACTAGGGATCAGTCGATATGGAGTTTTTCGGGCGGGGGGAAATCAAGAAAGACAAATAACCAATATTTTAAAACAATGTACCTTAAATGTAATGTTTTAACAGCACATCATAGCAGAGAACTAGTCGTTCACTAATAAGGGAGACTACAACTGAATACGTAAAGTGTTTAAATTAGATCGCTCTATTCTCTTATTGTGGTATCGACTGATCAGTTTGTCTCTTGCATTTACGTTTTGCTGTGCTTCTATTTTCTTAATCTTTCACTCTTCTATTACTTTTATTGCCCACTGAGGTCCAGATCTTAAAGCGTTATTATTGTTTTCCAAACTCTTGTTTCGGGGTGATTTGCGGCTGCGCTCTAACTTAGCCGCTAGCCGCTAGCATAGCCTTAGCCACTGTTTGAGTAGCTAATTTCCTGGTTTGTGGCAACAGCTTGTGATTCTTGTTTGGTTTTTGCAGACTATGCTTTCATAGAACA